TCATTGAAGCCTCGTACCTCTGTCACTCGATGGACACACTCAGAGGGGACGAGATCAGCTGCTGCTGGTCTGGAGGTGATCCAGATGAGAGCAGAGGGAAGCAGATTCCCCACAATGAGGTTCATCAGCAGCACGTCCACTGAGACTGATTCACTTACATCACACAACCTCACAGCGCTCTGTACAGACGCTCAAACTTCTTCATCAGATTTGATCTAAACCTGGGGACTTCATGCCTGGAAAATTTAAATACTGCATTATTAAATAAGCTAAGTTAATGTATTCTGTTTCATAATCAAATAATCTTTTACAGAAATATTAGACCTGAGATCAGTCTTTGTATCTTCACTCTTATAATCTAATGACTGATTCATAGACGCATCACTCCTCATAGACACACAGCTGGACTCTGCTTCTGATCTCTTCTGATGAACTGAACTATAACAGAGAGAGATTAAAGTCAATCCTTTGAATTACCATATAATTCAAGTACATCTTATAAATCAAGTACATCTTCATATATATATATATATTTTTAAATAAAATAAAAAATACCTTAAAATACTTTTTATAAATAATTTAAAGAGCACTTCATGATCACTTAATTTACACTATGTTATTACAAAAGATGTTAAACTGATCTGAGTGCTTTCATAAATGCGTTTCTTTGTGTAACACTATAGGCCCTGTCCCAAATGGAACACTTCATGTGCACTCGCCGTCTCACGCACTTACAATGGCCGCCACGTGCACATGTCCATTAAAGGTCACATATTTTACACCTTTCTGGATCCGTGTTGTTGTTGCTCAGCAATGGCATGGACGCGATGTTGTCTGGGGGTTTGTCAAAAGTAGAGTGGGACGGTGGGCGGTGCTCGGGGTGGTGACTGAAGGCAGTGACAGTGTAGTTCTGACATCAACTTTTTACGGAAGTCACAACGGTTCGTGAAAAATCACAGTTACTTTATGCAGGCTCTGTGCATGTTACTGTGGACTGACTGTTTTGAAACTTATATGGTAGTTAAATAGCCCCTAGACCTCAGTTATCGTGAAAAAAGACAGGAAATTTCAGTTTTGACAATATGGGGACCTTTAAATCCACGAGACCGTAGGGTGTCCCATTCGTCATTTTAGCTTTCAGAAGGGTGCTCGCAAGCGCCCCCTTTGCCCACTTCTGCTGAGCCCGCACTGGGGCAAGCTCTGCAGCAGACTTCTACTCGACAGTCAAAGCAGCATTACGTCATGAGAGTGTGGACTCCAAGGAAGAACACAAGGGTTTAGGGTGCCATTTGGGACAGGGCCATATATGTTAGAATATCAGATAAAGATATATCCATTAGCAATATACAAGAAAAAATCCTCATATATTACAGAAAATACTACACTACTTTGATAATATAAAATGACATGCTATAATTACATTTATATAAAAATGTACCCGAGATCAGTATTTGTATCTCCACTCTTAAACTGTATTGGATGTCCCATAGATGCGTCACTCCTCATAGACACACAGCTGGGCTCTGGTTCTGATCTCTTCTGCTGAAATGAACTATAACAGAGAGAGATTAAAGTGAATCCTTTGAACTGACCTATCGGTAAGCCCAATGGCAGTTGAATATCAGTTGCACGGGGAGCGGAACTCTGACATCTTTAGGTTTAGCGCCATAGAGAAACATTAGAAGATCCGAAGCTTGCATCGGTTTGATGATGTTTATGCTACAAAAATGGAAAAACTATGTGCAGCAGATTCTCTTCAGGGGCCAAAGAATTAACATCTTTCCAGACTATGCGCCTGCTGTGGTAAAGCGGCGCACACTTTTCAAACGCGTGAGGGAGTTGCTGAAGGATAAACCCGGAGTCAAATATGAACTGCAATACCCTGCTAAACTGAGGGTCTCACACAACGGCAAAGAGTTCTACTTCACTGATCCAGACAAAGCGGTCAGCTGCCTGTGGTACTTGTAACACTAATTCCAGTTATCCTGAGAGGATAGGCAATGTAATTTATTTCATTCCATTTCCTGAACCTAAACAAAACCGAGCAAAATGTCCGTAAGCATTCAGCCCTAATCCCAATGAAGACGAAACGTTCATTTTCTGGTTGTCATACTCTCATTAAGTTACAATTTCCATCTGCTAATGCACAACGTTAATGTCATCTTGTGTTTCAGCAAGGTATCTTTGGCTAAAACTAGCTAACGTTGAAGTTAGTGAGTCCATGCTAACGTACAAACCAAAATAGCGGACTCTTCTAATGTCATGTACAGTCAGTGTAGGTCAAAAACATAAACGAAGGTCTACATTTCAGTGTCTTTCCATATTAAAATGGTTAAATGTAAATTAATTTAATCGTATCCCGCGATACATTAACAGTGTTTATCCTGCATGTTGTCATCCACGATCGTGACGACCATAACATGAGGTTTCCCCTGCTTGTATTGTGATCTGTAAACCCTCGATTCTAAATTAATCCAAATGAATTACCATATTTGTTTTAAAATCTTTTATATATCCCTCCATTTAATTCCCACTTGAATGGTGTTTCTTCTGTGTCCAAAATTGTTCAAGAACATCTTGTGACAAGGTTTTCACACAGACAGCTATCATTGTAAGACAGTGAGCAACTTTGTCCGACTGAGCAACAGTA